AGAAAACAACACGCTGTCGAGGTGTACACACTCGATGGCCGTGAACACAATGTCCGTAGAAAACAACACGCTGTCAAGGTATACACACTCGAATGCTGTGAACACAACAGCTGACAGTATGACAAGAAAAGAGGAAAAAGAAAAAACATATTAAAAGCAGAACCCAAAAAGTACAGACAATTGGAACCATTTAGAGTGGAGGTAAATATCACCGTCTCAGGAGGCAGTGCTGTTCAACAAGGTTGAAAACCAATGTTCATTATTATAACCCCCTCCCCACGTGACATCATCCAGAAATGGGATAATTATGAAGAGTACTCTGTTAGAAAGACACAGATGTAAGTGAATAATATATTTTAGAAAACTTCTATCAAACATGGGTAAAATAATTTAGTTTGGGGACATAAAAAAGTAAAGTTCACTTATTCAGAAAACTCATTTATATGAAAAATTTCATTCTCTGATGATAATACATAAATAAGTTGTCACTATTACATAGAATTCTTTGGTTTATATATAATTTTAACTTTCAACATAAGCACACAGTCACAGTAACATCATAATCAAAACTTAAGATTTATTTTAGATTAGTATCTGAGAACTTAATTAAAACTCACAAACATTCCAGCAAAACTTAATTAATGTACTTAGAGATTGTAATAAGAAGTTAAAAAGCCAATGACCCAACCTTTACTGTCAATGAAGATATATCCATCAAAACGATCTCTAAAAAGAAGGATGTCATCAGGATTTCTAAAATTAATGTATGCTCTTGAGTAGAGATGAGGATAAAGACTGAAATAAGAGAACAGCAAAATGGTTAGTAACAAATACAAACACTTCTTTCATCATTTGCCTTTGTTTTTCTTTTCTGGATAGAACAAACTACTTTAATTTTATTTATTTATATTTTTTCCCCCAAAGCCCCAGTGGATAGTTGTATGTCATAGCAGCACTTCCTTCTAGTTGCTGTATATGGGACGCGGCCTCAGCATGGCAGGAGAAGCGGTGCGTCAGGTGTGCACCCAGGATCCGAACCCGGGCCGCCAGTAGCAGAGCGCGAGCACTTAACCGCTAAGCCACGGGGCTGGCCCTAGAACAAACTACTTTAGATAAAACCTTTATGCCAAAGAATCATCTCTCAGTTAATTACAATATGGATATTCTTTAGCAAAAAATCAAAATCAAACAAACAAAACACGAACTGAGACCTTGTTAATGACTTGGGGGAGACCCTTTAGGTCAGTTTCTCTACTGCACAGAGTCAGGGTTAAAATAACTGGTCCTCAGAGGCTGAAAACCAAAGGCATGGTTATTCAAAGGTCATCCCTCACCATGCGTCACCACTGCGACACCACCTAGTGAGGACCGTTCACAGGCGACAATGCTGTGCTGTAAAGAGATCCTTCACTGACTTAGAGAAAACCTGCAGGTATTTTAAGAGTATTTCTTGGAGCACATGGTACGGGGTCTACAAAAGAACGAAGCCTTTCTCCCGTCTCACAGCTACCGATTTCCTTCATAGGCAGGAACTTTCAGCCCCACGTGACAGATGAGAACACTGAGAAATTAGGAACTTGAGAGGACGTGTTAGTTAAAAGGTGGGCCTGGGATCCCACCTGAGACCAGTGGCCATCTTCCTGTAACGGCACCAGTTTTCCTAAACTTTAGTCATTTGAAAACCATCTTTATGTTGGGTTTTTAAACTATATCTAAAGTTACCTCTTAGTGATATTTTTCTTTGAATGGACTGACGTTTTTTACTTAAATGCATTTATTCTAAAGGAAAGTTCCTATGGCTACCATAATTGAGAACTCACAATATTGAGAATAGAAACAATAACAATGATAATGAAGATCATGGTAAAAACATAATGAAAATCACTAAATTCTAGCTGAACTGTCACCTGTTGAAGGTCTAACCTGGTCTGCTCCCTCTTTGTCATCAAAAGGGAAATTTGGAAGTGTTACAGTGTTGTCAGAGTCATCTTATTACCAAGCTGTAACAGGGAATTGAAAAAGACATGACCGGGCAGGCGCAGGGTCGGGGTGTTAGTGATGGAAGGGAGTACAAGGGGGCTTCTGGGGTCGGGGATATTCTGTTTCTTTATCTGGTGTTAATTATATGGGTGTGTTCACTTGTGAAAATTCATCAGGTTATACATCTATTATTCATTCACTTTTCTTTGTTATATCTTAATAAAACCTACTTTAAAAAGCTCTATGAAATACAGTTTATTGATATCCAAAATACACCAATTGAGTAATATGTTGTTAGTTTGTCTGTTTTTCTTTTCAGACTACGGTAGTGACAGCAGAGGCATATTCCAAATCTATTTTAGAGGAATTGAATGATCTGCCTACTTAGAAATAACTTAGAAACAAAGGTCTGCACTGATTTCTGGGTACGTGTGGGAAAGAAGATGGAAACGAAGATGGCTCCTATTATCTACAATAATTTCCACCACTGACAATACCTCACAGCTGTTTAACGTCGGTAAACAGCTTCTCACCTGAGATCGGCAGTGAAGAACTCGAAGGAGTCGTGCGCAGGCAGCGGGCGAAGCTGCTGTTCCAGCTGCTCCTTGGTGAGGCTGGGAGGAAGCCGCCGGATGACCACCTGGGGAAAGGTCGCTGCCTGGGTTTTGTTTCACTATCACTGTATTAAGCTTCAATTATTTGAATGCTTGGTCACCTGTGTTTATGCTCAGAGGAAAATCTAAACCAGGCGTCCAGCAGAAACACACATTTTAGGAAAGGATAAGAAATACCTGGAGAACATAGCTGTCAAAAGGGTAATGAGGGCTGAATAATTTAAAAGGGATCCGTGGGGTCAGAAAAGCCTGCGCATAACCCCTCTTCCTCGGAATCATCTCATTACTACCACGACACGTACGGTCCGTGCCCGAGCTGCAAAATAAGACCCGCTCCTCTCTCTCCTGCATGTGGGCCACACTAGGAGGCAAGACACACGCAGAGAACACCAGCAGGAGCAAACCCACGGGCACCGTCCTCACTGCCCAGAGGAAGTCCGCCTCCTGTCCGCAGTGTCCACACCGCGGGTCCTCTCCAACACCTCACCAGCTGTCCGGGCTGCCTCTCCCGGCTGCCGCCGTCTTCCCTGGACCGGACCGGACCCTGGCAGAACCGCCGAGCCACCGACCCCGCTCGTGCCCCCTCCGGCCGCGGTCCTCGGCGGTGCGGACAGCTACTGCCAGGCGCCGGGGAGCCCAGCGTCTCAGCCCCAGCGGGAAACGTGCTCAGGCCCACAGGGCCTTTCTTCCTCCCCAGGCCGGAAAAGCTCGCGTCGGAGGGCGCCGAAAACTCGGCCAGCGCTGCCCGACCGCTGTCCGCGGTGCTGAAGGGCGCCCCGCCCACCCCGCGGCCCCGCCTCACCGCGCTGAGAATTCCCCCTCCTCTCGCGAGGTTTGCTTGCACCGCCCCGTCCTCACCCCGCCCCTTCCTTCGCCCCGCCCCCACCTTGCTCAGGGTCGTTTTCTTCTCCTCGCGAGGTTTGCCTGCGCCACCCCCACAGCCGGAGGACGCGGCCGGCGGCGACTCCCGGCGGAACTGGACTTCCAGGACGGCTGCCTTCTCCCTCCCGGTTGAGCCCCGTGCAGCAACGGCCGCCCTGGGGCCTCCGGCCCCCTCCTTCTCCGAGCGCATCCCGCACCCGTCGCGGAACCACTGCCGCCTCTCGCCCGGGCGGAACCTCGCGAGAACTGGGCCGCTGGGGCTTGGATGGCGCCCGCCCCTCTCCTCCGTTCCCCTCCGCCCCCTCCCCCTCGGCCACCCCCTGGCCCAGGGTACTCCACCTTCCGCGCGCCCTCTTGGCCCGCGACCTCCGCCGCCGCCCTGGGGCCTCTGTATGGGGGCCCTGGAGCCGCACCTCCCACCAGCCCTGTGGCCACACTGCGCAGCTGTGCGGTCACTGGGAAGTGGGAGCTCGACCTCGGAGGGTCTGGAGTCTTGTTCGTTTGGTGTCAGCAGGACATTCTGGCCCAGGGGACGATTGGCTCAAGCAACAGCCTTTGCAGGTGTCGGGAGAGAGGGAGAATCTCCCTCTGCCCTTTGCCTTAAGTTCTTATGGCTGGCCAAATAATTAATAAGACAGGTTAGCAGGAGAAAATAATACCAAGTTTAATAACAATGTATATGTGGGAGAAAGCAGGGACGCTGCGTTTCTCAACACAATAGAAATTCTAGTCTTAAATACCATGTTCAGCCAATGACAAAGGAGGATTTGGGGGGGGGGAGTCAGTTACAGGAGATTATCACTAAAGCCCAGTAAACAAGAGTAAGGTTATTATGCAGATTTAAGGCCTCACCTTCCATAGTGATAAGTCTCTAGAAATGAGGCCATCCCCCCTCTTCCCAAAACAGAGAGGGAGATACCTTTACAAATGGAGATTTCCCTTATAAATGTAAATGTTTGTCTGGCAACTCCTTGCAGGGCCATCCAGAGAATGTGGCCAGAGAGACATAAGATGGGCTTGTTGATGCCTTTTCTATTGTAACATCTATTTTACAGTATATTACAGCCATCAGATAGAAGATCTGTTCCAGGAAGGAGTTACTATGTCAAATTCTTTAGGCAGTTAGTGGGGGAGGTCAAATGTCCTCAGAGAAAACAACCAAGGTAAAGAGAGAGATTTCAGGGTGGCCAAATCTTGATCTCCCACACAGGGCTGAACCTGCTTCCCACAGAGAGCTGGCTATTTGGCCGAATAGTCCTGCGAGTTACATACACGTGCTTAATAAAACAGTTACAGATATTTATTGTTCTCAAAGTGCGGATGCAAAATAACCAATAAGGATTATAACCCAGAAGGGCCTTTTCCAGAAAGTAAGAAAGCGTTCTGGAGAAGAGTGGTTTTCAGTACAGTCTTACACCTTTTTAGGACAAAAAACATACATTAAACATGCCCAGGATAAAATTTCGAAGAGGCATTCAGTTGCAAATTAGCAGGTCAACATGATCCTGATGTTGGGGAAAGGGACTAATCCGCATTACCAATAGGGCGTAGGAGGGGAGGTAAGCATTCTTAAGAGAGGATGTTCTTTAATAGTTAAAGTGTATGTACAATGTATGTTTCATAGGCCATAAATCAGGCTTGTTTAGTTCAAGCCTAGAATCAGGTTTAAACCCAAAGGGTTACCCTTTGTACTTCAATGTGTGAAAATCTCTTATCACAAGATAATTCGAACTTTTGGGGGGGGGGATCAGAATTGGCCACTTCAAATGTGTCTCTTTGGCTTGATTATTTTGATAAATAAATGGCAAGCAATAGGGCATATTGGAGCATATGAGGAAGTCATTTGGTGTAAAACTAATTTGGCCTGAGCTTGTTTTTCCAAAAGGGCCTGTGGCCTTTGAACATATATTGTAAATCTGCTTTAAGCAATTAACATGTCCCAAAGACAAGAACAAATGCCGTTAAGATAAGGATGCAACTTCCCCCACATTGGCATTTCCTTAAGGATAAGCATTTCTCCCTAGGCTAGGATTTGATTGCTGCACTCATCCTGTGACCACCCAACTCCAGACAACAGACGTGCTGCCTGCTGTGTCCATCAATCCCTGTGCAGACAGAGTAATCTGACAAGGGCAATCTCAAGACTATTGTAAAAGGGACATTGCAATCATATGTGATACATGCACTTGGACAGTATATAACTGCTCAGTACACCCCACTTCTTTGGTGCCCTTCCTTCCTTGGGGAAGGAAGGCCCCAGGCTATGTGGTCCTCAAATTTGGCTCATGATAAACTCACCCCAATTTTGATTTATAGATTGATTATAGATTATTTGCATCAACAATTTTTAAGAACAAAAGACTCTGAAACTCTGACCTTCCCCTAACTGCCTAAAATAATTTAAGATAGAGGGTCTGTTCCAGGAAAGAGCTAATACCATATGATAACTGTAATGTAATGTAAAATGTTTCTTTCAGGTGGGCCCAACGAACACTTGTTTAACAAACATTTCCATTTCCATCTCCATGTGAATTGCCTTCCTTCCTTCCCTTTGGAGCCCAAAACCACTACCCCCAACATCCTCCTGTGTCTTTAGCTGAAGATGATATTTAAGGTGCTGACTTTGGCCATTCTGGTGAGTTACTCAGCTTTCCTGGGTTTCTCCCATGTATACACGTTATTAAACTTTGATTTTTCTCCTGTTATTCTGTCTCATGTCAATTTAATTCTTAGACCACCCAGAAGGACCTAGGGGGTAGAGGAATTGTCTTCCTCCTCTACAGTTTCATCAGAGAATAGCAGTTACACATAAGAAAAACAAAACTGTTGACAAAGAGCACGAATGGGTGCAGGGCTTTACTATATATATGGAGTAGAATGAATGTGCCAGAGTTGTGAGCAGAAATTGGCCGGCACAGAAAGAAGACTCACTTGGACTATCCTCAGGAGCCCAGGCGTCAGCACTGACTGCTGTCTGGATGATGTGCAGGCTGGATTAGAGGAACTAAGAGCTCAGACCCACGGCGCCCACAAAACAGGGCATTAAGGTTTTGCAATATAATTTTTATTCAACTTTTTGAGGCTCTCAATTAATGGGACAGCAATTAAGCCATGATCACATTTGTGTATTTTCCTTTTACAAACATGCAAACGGTAACTTTCAATTAGAATAATTTATATGAAAGTTCTTCACTTTTAAGTGCCACATTTTTTCATATTTCCTCATATATTTCTTTATTTATGTTGGCTGTATATTTCATTCATAGCTCCTTTCTCCCAAGAACTTCAAATACAAACAAAAAAATTAGAAAATGGAGTGACCAAGGCATTGAGAGAGTAAGGGAGTCACTAGTAGATACTGGAAGCAAATCCAGACTTAACTCAACCAGCACTTGATCCTTGAACCACTCACTATGCATGGACACACTTGAAGTGTAACATTTCAAGTGGGCCAAAAGACTCAAAGAGCAGTTCCCAAACTGAGTTCTCTAAAACGCCACAAAGGGGGCCAGGCACCATTTTCAGTATTTCATAAGGTCTAGAGGAATTGCATTAGAGACAAGCCTATGATCAAGTTGCACACACTGGATCCAGTTTCCTTTTTTGCCTCAAACCAACTCAGTATAGAAAGCCTAGTTATGCTGATCAAAAGCTCTGATGATCTTATCTATGATAAAAAGGAAAACGCGGTTGCCAGACAAAATCTTTTACTACCTAGTGAGGGTGGGAGGTAGGGGCAAAAGGGGCTGATAGCAAAAAATGTGGACACCATTCATTTTAAAAATCTGAATGTTCAGCAGTCTTTAAATACACAGCACATACAGATCTTCCTCGACTTCCAAGGGGTTTATGTCCCGATAAACCCTTTGTAAGTTGAAAATACTGTAAGTCGAAGATGCATTAACACACCTAACCTACCGAACATCACAGTTTAGTCTAGCCTACCTTCAACGTGCTCAGACACTTACGTGAGCCTACTGTTGGGCAAAATCAACTTACACAAAGCCTATTTAATAATATTATTAAGTGTTGAATGTCTCACATAATTGATTGAATACTGCAAGTGGAAAACAGAATGGTTGTATGGGTACAGAATGGTTGTCAGTGTGTGGGTTGTTTACCCTTGTGATCATGTGGCTGACCGGGAGCTGCAGCTCGATGCCGCTGCCCAGCATCACGAGAGGATTGTACTGCATATCGCTAGCCCAGGAAAAGACCAAAATTCAAAATTCGAAGTATGACGTCTACTGAACACGTATTGCTTCTGCACTGTTGTTAAGTCAAAAAATCCTAAATTGAACCATCATATATGAGGGACTATCTGTATTCTGAACATCTTTTTTTAAAACTGCCCTCATCTATTTGCAGGTCTTCCTTCTTTAATTTCTGCATGTTATTCAGAAGTTAATCATCTAACTCAATATCTGATTTCAGCTCTTTAGTGATGTTTCTACATTGGGGTAATAAAAAGGGTTTTAAATCTCATACCTCACACCTATTCTTATTGAAGCACTCTTCCTCCAAGGGCATTCTTTTATTACTCAGCCAAAAAACACCGAAATTACCTAACGGAGAGAAGAACTCTTGTCCTCAGCTTCTCATTAGGCCCTGGTCTGTGCAATGCCTTGTGATATTTCTTGTGTCCATATTTTGCTGCCACCACTATGAAGCCACGGCTTATGCTGTGGCCTCTGCCTAGCACGTCCTCCCACCTTCCCACCTTCCTGAAGCCCTCTCAGCCCAACCGAACACCTTCCCAGCCACGGTGGCTTCATTTGAGATCCCCAGAACCTTAATCACACTTCCATTTGTTGCACCGTACTCAATGCTCAAAGAACACTCCCTACAGCCCAGAATGATGACTTACTCAAGCAGGAGCTACATTTTATTCCACTCTGTATGCCCAGCCCAGGACTGTATCTGGCACCTACAGGCATTCACATGTTTGCTGGATATATATTTCTTGTAAATGTAGCTCGCAAAAGGCCCAAATGGTTTTTTTTCCCCAAGTAACAGCCACCACTGTCAATTTTCAAAGACCCCTCTGATTCGCTACTTTCTGTTCTTACAAATAAACTTGAGAAATGGTTTCACAAAAATGATAGAATTTTAGAATTCAAGTTTGTTGATGAAATTATTCTTTTTTTGTTGTTGTTGGTGAGGAGATTAGCCCTGAGCTAACATCTGCTGCCAATCCTCCTCTTTTTGCCGAGGAAGACTGGCCCTGGGCTAACA